TTATGTGCCAGACACTGTGCTCAGAATTTGATTTGGAATATATATTTTAGTGAGTGGCCTTGCATGTGAAGAGCCATCACTAGTACCTTTTACAGAAAAATGAAAGGGAGATTATAAAGGTTAGGAGACCCAGTGGAATCAAGACAGTGATTGAATCTGGGGTATTAAAAAAATCCCTTTGTACTTCAAGCTGGCTCTGGGGCAGTGTTTCCTTGGACATGTGGATCTATGATTCTAACATGTGGATGCTGGCCAGTTAGTAGATAAGGATGGGACTACAAGCTCTTGAATACAAGGGGAGGCAGCCTGCTGTACTGTGATTCTCAACTCTACACATACAACACAACAGACTGAATGTTCACTAAGTTTATATTGAATCTGTGTTTTTTTTTTAGGCCTTGGTTTCCTGATCTTTTAAAGGTTTGGGGTTATCTAATAGTTCTGTATTTTGTTATTATCTGAGAAGCCTCTTTATGACCTTGCAATTTTTTTGCTAACAATGCCCAAGCACTTCACAATGAAGAGGCTGAAACAGTGGGTTTTAGAATTAAAAAGGGTCCTACTCAAAATCTTACTCTGCAATTAGCTAGCTGTTTCATCTCAGGCGAATTACTTGAGAACTTTCTATTTCTGAGTTTCCAGGCACATTTTAACATTTCTTAAATCTGGATGCATCTTACATTTGGTGACATCTCATAATGGTTGATGGCATTATATTTTTCTTGGTCATACACTAATGTGCATCCTATGATTGAGGGTCTTTAAGAGTCAATGAAATAGTAAAACACCCATCTCAATGAATTGGATATGTGTATTACTAGGATAGCTGTCGTCTGGAGCATTATATCTTTTTTTTTGGTTTCATATTTTTTGGTTTGTGGGACATTTTTAAACATATCCTTCTTCCTTCACCTGTTTCTTGATGGAAGTCTTTGAAATATACCTTCCTCCCCAAAGTATAAATGAGATACTAGTCCAGAGAACAATTTGGGCTTGGAAACTCTGAATTATGCATCACTAAAACAGAAAAGAGGTGAAAAGAGAAATATTTAGCTCCTCAAGTATAAGGCACGAAGCTGTAGACAGTCTTCACCTTAGAATGGCCTGGATCTCGTAGAGATGGGACACTCCCTTCCTGGTCCCTGGTGGAAGGCAGTAGGGTGGGGGCTTTGCACTGTGTGCTGCTGAGTATTTGTGAACATTTGATTGTCTCTCTCTTTCATAAGGTACAGGCCTGTGGGAAATTCAGCTGCAGGCAGGGAATGATACAGAACTTCTATACCACAAAATTACTTGGAGTTCCTTTGCATGGATTTGACCTGCTCTAAAAGGTTTTTGTCAACTGGAGAGGTGAAAAGTCTTCAGTTCTTTGGCAGTCTCAGAAAATCTCAACTGTCCTCAAAAAGACCTTACAATGTAAAGATTTTGGCAATGATTTGGTCCCAGAAGGAACTGTGCTATTATTCGGTAGTCTTTTATGCTAAAAGCTGTTGGTACAGTTGATCTTATGCACTAAATGAATACAGACTGTTCAAATCTCCAGCGTATCTGCTGGGAAATCTATATGACAGAAAGAGACAAGAAGTGTGGCTTTTTAGTTTAGTCAGAACTGAAGTCAAATTCTTCTCGGAAAAGTTACTTACCCTTACTGATTTAAGCCTCATCATCTGTAAGTGGGACAGTAACAAAGCCTACTTCATGAGTCTAAGTGAAGATTTGATCAGATTCTCTATGTAAAGTTCTTAGCACACTGCCTAGGCCCAAGGCTGGCTGGCTGCCTATGTATCTCTCATCTGTCATCTATCTATTTCTATGCCTATCATCTCTCTCTCTTTCTTTGTGTAAATCATCTGTCCAATTTTTAAAATCCTTGGCATATTTAAAGGAAAAAATTGTTGTATTTCAAATTCCAGTGGAATCATTATGATGCTCAGAAAATTATGCAAGTATTTAGCCAAGAACTGAGGCAAAACAGCAATAGTAGTGTAGACTTTCTCAGAGCTTTCTTGGTTCAGAATGTGTGATGTTTTAAATGGAAATGTATTTAAAATAATAGAATTCATTCGCAGGAGTCACAGCTTTTCTTACATGGACTAGCAGTCTTTTGTATCTTTTTTCCTGAGATGCTGTAATTAAACTGAACATTTAATTTCTAATAATGCCACCTGACAAGAGGCAAAGCCATCCTGGACTCTGCAGCACTGCTGACCAAAGAACACAGGAGCTGTCTGTATTCCATTCCCCAGCCTTCAACCCCACCCCAGCATGAGCAGGTGACTCTGGCAGTGCCCTGCCAACTCCATCCAGTGGCCTGTGCCTATCCACCCACACATTTGTGCCCTATTCACTGTGGAAATTGAAAAGGGAAAGGATTAAAAAAAATGTGAAAGCCAGCAGTAAAGTCATTATGCGTTTGAATCTGACTGATATGTTTGGAGGAACTCTTGACTACACCAAGCTTCAAACCCATCTCTGCTCTGAATTTGACTTGATTCTCGCTCTTCAGTCTTTGCTTTCTGTTGCTGCTAGAGTGATTTTTCTGGAGTGTAAATAGCCAAGCTGCCTTCCTGCTGAGGAGCCTTCAGTGGTTCTCGGTCACCTCTGGAGGTGAGGCTGGTGTCACCTTTCTTCTGAATGTTTCACATGCAGGTAAAAGTTGGCATAGATACCAACTCGGGGCAGAACGCTGTCTCACCATGGCATCTTAAGGCCTTCACTGTTTGCCTCCTACAGCAGCTCAGGGTATGGACTCTGCCTGGGATCAGATTCTGTGTCTACCACTATGCTTTCAGGAGTGTTTTGTTAGGCTGTTTCTTCCTGTATGTTCATCTGTACAATGGGTATAAGAAGATTCCATCTCCCTCACAGAGGTTTCAAGAAAAAACATGACTTAGCAGATATAAAGTATGTATGATTGTGCCTGGTCTATGACATACATTAAATAAGCATTAGTTGTTTCTATAAATTGTATGATTTTGTGCATTTGCACAGTTTACACTTTTTATTTAGAAGGCTTCTCCAGTTTCCAACCCCAGCTCCCTGTAACAGTATCTCTCTCTCTCAAGGTACAATTCAAATCTTACCACCTTGCAAAGGTGTCTATGGCTTTCTGACAACACCTCACTCCTCTTATGCACAGTTCGACTGATAGATGTCACAGTTTAATACACGTGTGCTTTGCACAGAGGCTCTGTGGGGCTAACAATGGTTTCCTTCTTGGTTATATAGTTCCTGGCTGCAAGGTAGGCTCCCACTGAGCATGTGTTGGATGAATGAATGAATGAGCCAGTGAATGGATGAGTGAAAGCACCTTTCTTTCAGGCAGACAGAGGTTCACTTGTCTTAGACACAGGTTTGTGACTTAATATTTATTATTTTCCTAGTGCTTAGCACATACACAAAAATGCTTTCTGAATGCTTCTGAAGTACACTCAACTGTTCACTTTGATGAAGTGGTAATTTGGAGGAGTCCTTTAAGTGTTAAAAACAATGATCAAAACATTTATGAATGTTTTGAGTCAGAGTTCTCCTCAAAACAGACTCAGAAGTTTTAGGAACACATGAGAAGAGAATGCCCAAGCCAAAGGATTTTCTAAGAATTTTCTCCTTGTAAAACTTTCAGTCACAGTCCCTGCCTGTGCTCCGCTCGATCGTGTGGCACACACACAAGAACAACACAGACACGATTCTCTCTGCCTTGGCCAGCAAACATTCACCAAAGAACACAAACTTCTCCATAGGGCAGAAAACAGAGAAAAGAAATGGGAAACAAAAGGGAAGATTCGCTTGGGTCAGTAACTTTTTCTTTTTTAAATGCACAAGAGGCCAAATCATTGGATCCTGCAACCAAAGATGAAATGAAGCCCTGCAGCAAACCAGATTGTGTTCCTTCAAAGCTTGTACCTTTATGGAAATTCTACTCTATAAAGGTCAACACTGAAATGGGCATGAGATGTATTTAGACAGCACAAATTAACTCCTTAAGTATTATTGCAACTCCGCATTACTCTCTGGGAGTAATATCTTAAGGAGCTACTGAAAAAACAAAAACAAAAATAACAACTGAATATAACTCAACAGTCCTGATAATTGATAATGCATATACAGTTGGTTCACCTGCATCCTTTTGATTCTCTATTTGAAAGAGAGAGCACAACAAGGAGAGAAGAGAGAGAGAAACAAGAACACATATGCAAGATTAATGAGCAAGTGGACCAAAATGCCCCCCAGGTATGTGTGATACATGATATTGGAAAGAAAAGGTTGCCCTGTGTTCCCACCGCCCTGAAGTGTGGGGGCCAGCAAAAAAAGGCTCCTTCATGGAGGTGAAAACGCTGCACAAATAGAAAATTAGTGAAATTAAGTTCAATGTGAAATCAAGCTATGACACATACACAAACTCTCTAAAATGACGATTAAATCATATGTCCTAGTCAGAGCTTAGAGGACAGGGACAAGTCAAAATCTCCAGAGAGAACAAGGAAAGCTTCCCAGTTTGAGAGAGAACAGACAAGAGGCGTATCGGTTCTGATTTTTACAGAAATGGACCATCTCCTGTGGTCTCATACCCATATTCGTTTGATATCTTAATCACAGAAAAAGGCATGACGTTGCCCCAAAATGTCTTTTATCTGACACCTGACACGTTACTCCCAGCCTAGCTGCTGTATCTTTGGATTGTGTACCAGTGACAAGCACTTTACAAATTAGGGTTACACACAAGCAAAGTAAAAATGCATTCAGGTCACAGACAGAGAATAACTGAAAAACTTACAGACAAGTCTGAGTTTCTCACAAACAAATGGCTTAGTTGTCTAACCTGTTTTAGGTTGATAAAGTGACTGGATTTCTCACACTGGGTTTCACAGACAGAACCAACAGACAAGCCAATGCTAAAAACTTGAAGCAAGGAGAGTGAGTTGGTTTGGATCTGGATTGTCTTGAAATAATGAAAACAGAAAGAGTGAAGACAGCATGGTGAGGAGGTGGTAGGTACTCACGAATGGTTAAATCCATCACTTGGGAGGCCAAGCAGAAGACAGGATGCTCATACATTTCTCTCTTTTTCCCTATAAAAGAGGATTTGGGCATGCAAGAGGCTTAGGTCAGAGGTAAAGAGGTTAAAGGTCATAGGTTAGAGGAAAACGTTACATTAGCTCAAAGAAAAATAGCCACAGAGTATTTTGGGATAAACACAGGATAAAAGAAAAAGGAATTTCAAAATTTGAGATCTACTGGATTAACCATTCAGCATGCCGTGAGTCACGAGAGAGATTGTGACCATGATTTTACACGTCTCTTTAGAGTTGTTGGCAAGAATACAATGATCAAAAACATCATGAGTAAAGGGAAACAGAATTTCATTGATTTAAGGCTCCAAGATACTAAGGATTTCAGACTTTAGTATCTGAGGCTCTTCAGGTATTTCTTCATAAACATAGTCTCCAGCAATATTACTACAACTTCTTTCCAAAATTCTCAGATAACTGAACTGTTAATGTTCATAGAGGGTCTCAACTCTAAAAATAGATTACTTTTCTGAGGGCAGGACCAGAGCCTTATAAAAGAAAGCCGTCTGGTAGTAATATCTTTAAAGCTGCAATGTCTCAGCCCATGTCGGACTATGTTCATGAAAGAAAACCTGATACATGCAGCCAGAGGATGTTGGGTTGTCTGAATTAACAATCCCAGCATGCTTTGAAATTGGTGTCTCAGCCACTTTTGCAGAGGGCGCGGCAAAAAGTGGCTGAGCCAATCACGGACAAGGAAAGAGAGAAGCAGAAGAGAGCAGGTAGTGTGGAATGAGGTACTTCTCTGAAAAGAGAGTTGGAAAAAAAAGAATTGGTTTCTTCAAAGAATCCCCAGACCTAAAAGTCACAGTGCAAAAGATAGTTAACACAACCAAGAAGAATTGAGGCACAAAAGGAAATTACAGACCAGCTGATCTACTTTGGAAATGAATGCATTTTTACTTACAGATCTTAGTTTGTTTTTGAATTTATTTATCTGAAAGAAGAGAGCAGATCTTACCAAAAGACTAGTAATAAATAGCTAGACTGAGACTTCTGAGGCAGCAGCCATGGCAACCAAACATCTCTTGATTCCACTCCATCCTGGCCTTGCCTAGAATCAGCAGGTACTGGTTGACTTTACCAAATCCAACCAATCGTTATGTGCTGGGCTGGTAAAATGCTGGAGCAATTACTTGTGAATATAGCCCTTAACAATCTTCTTGTTCCTCTATTTTTGTCACTCATTACCAAGTCAAGAGTTGATAAACATCCTTTTAGTGCCCAATTCTTAAGTGTTTCTCCCTGGATGCATAACAATGAATTCATTACCACTGGTACACAATTTGCATTGTCAGACAGACAAAATTGAGAGGGAGGACATATAATTTACAACACACTGCAAATTTGATGTGATCTTAACCTAATTCTCTAAGGAAACAAGGGCTTTGGCAAGGTCAGTGACAGGGTCTGGGTTGTTGGTTAGTTTTTTCCCCCAGTCATGTCTTAAGGTAGACAATGCACATTTGCTGGCTTTAGTTAGGCGTCCTGTGTTTCACGTGTGAAAGAACATCAGATTCCAGAATGCGAACACACTGAGTTTTGCACATAGAACTTCCACATTTATACACTTACACCACTGGTCAGGGTGGGTGTGGTTTTCAAATCACCCTATGGCAGCCAACGGGGTAACAATGAAAAGTGATTAATACCTTTATGAGTGAATAGGTCCCAAAGAACAATCCCTTCTCAAGTAGAGTTTACTCAAAGGGTCTTTTGCGTGATGACAAGTCATCCGCAATTGCTTGCCTAAAAGCTTGAGAGGGCAGTAGTAAGGAACATACTAGGTCTGAGTAATAGGAAAGAATGAGACCTAAAGGCAACTTGGTGGGCTCTAAGATCCTTCCACCCTAGCTTGCCACCAAGCTTGGAATGTTCCCAAACACAAGGTACTTCCAGGGACAAGAGAGAGTTAAGTACAATTGTGAGGGTGCAACGAATAATTGTTTCAATTCCAATGCTGTTGGCAAGGGACAGCATACTGCTTGCTTTTCTTCAGTCTAAAGAAGGCGGCAAGGGACAGCATACTGCTTGCTTTTCTTCAGTCTAAAGAAGGCGGCAATCTTACCAAACTTGTTCCCAGGTAAACATCATCAGCAGAGCGCATATTTAGGGCCAATACAAACTCTCGCAAGGAACTAAGTTATCACATAACATCCTTTGTCACTATTCTCCCCCTATGAAGGCTGCCTCTGGAGCCCCTAAGCTTTAGTTCATTTGGTTTTAGTCAAAGAAGCTTCTGCATTTCAAGTTCTTTCCAGTTCAGCCCATCAGATTAAGATGGACCACTATGTTCTGGTGCCCACCAGAAAAGAGTCTTCCCTGGGGAGACATCCCGAAATAGAAATTCAAAACTGGGGGCAAAAGGGAGCCTTACCTTCGATTTTGGCATACTCAGAGAGACGAGAATAGTTGACTAGAGCAGCTTGTTCTAAACATTTACGGATGACTGTTTTTACCTCCTCTTGTGGCACTGGGGTAACAATATCCTTCATCAAAACCTATAGGCAGAAAGAAAAGACACTCGTAAGAAGTCCCAAAGAGAATTCATGAATAGGAATCAAACTGCACAGGAACTACTTCCCAGAATCAATAACTGGGATCACATCTTATTAAAAAGTTTCTGCATGTCAAAAGAAATCTCCAGCACAGTGAAAAGAAAACTCACAAGCTAGGAAAAAATCTTAGTAAACTGTCCCTCAGACAAAGGAGTTCTGTTTAAAACATATAAAGAATTTAAAAAAATCAGATCCCCGAAACTCAAGGACCCAGTCCAAAAGTGGGCATCTGAGATGAATATACATTTCTCAGATGAAGAAATACAAATGGCAAATAAATACATGAGAAAATGTTCATCATCATTAGTCATTAGAAAAATGCAAATTAAAACAACACTGAGATTCCATCTCACTCCAGAAAGAATGGCCAGGATCAAGAAAACTACCAACAACAAATGCTGGAGAGGCTGTGGGGAAAAAGGAAGTCTCCTGCACTGTTGGTGGGAGTGCAGACTGGTGCAACCATTATGGAGGTTGGTCTGGAGATTCCTCAAAAATCTGGGATTGGAGGTCCCATTTGATCCAGCTATTCCACTTCTGGGCATATTCCCAGAAGAACTGAAAAAAAAAATCATACCACAGTGATATATGTGCACCCATGTTTATAGCAGCACAATTTGTAATAGCCAGATCTTGGAAACAACCAAAGTGTTCATCAACTGAGGAATGGATAAAAAAGACGTGGTATTTTTATACAATGGAGTACTACTCAGCTATAAAGAATGATCACATTGAGATATTTACTAATAAATGGGCGCAACTTGAGACCATACTCATAAGTGAGATAAATCAAACTCACATGTATAAATACTGTATAGTTTCCCTAATGTAAGAAATAGTAAGAGTACATAAGAGTTTGGGGTAATCATGATTCCCTATTACATTGTTTTGAAGCCTTATAATGATCGCAGTTGTAATGTGTTTGTCCTGGTTTTTTGATTTTATTATCTGTGATGGTATGAACAGCTAATTTGAGGGAAACAAGTCATTATAATAGCCAGTAGTGATATAATATCATCTTACTCTGAAGTCCTACCATGCTCTTGCTCTTCTGTTTCCATTGGCTCTATCATGCTGTACCTTATTGGATTGTATTACATGTGAAAGTATAAACAAATTTCCTATGGAAAATGAGATAATATAGTAGCCATTGTTTGCTTTCTGTTATTTGGTTCTGAAAAACCTGTAATATTCTCATTTTCTTGAATGTTTTTATACTATTTTGTTATGTTTGATACTATTGTATATGAAGTTATACTCAACTATTTCAAAGAAAGAGACATCATGGTAGTTACTGTTAATTATGGGTTGTCTTCTGGTGAAATACTGTTTTGCTTACATTGTTCCATTCTGATCTGCTCTGTTATGTCCTGTTTTGTCTTAATCTCTTTTAAAAAAAAGTTCAAAGCAGTGCATGTGTTACTCTATTACGCTCCTCAAAGACTTCACATTTAAAGTTAGCTGTGTCTGCTTCCTTATGCGTCAGAACTGATTGAAAGCTGTGGCTAAAGAGAAAACACTAGACTGGCAATGCGCAAGATGGCAAAATCTGGCCTGAATCAAAAACAGGTCAGATGCATCTCTTCAATGCATCTTAACTATTTGGGAATTGGGATATAGAATTCCTGGAAGTTCTGCAGCTTTCTCTTTTATTCTTACATTTGATGAATGGTAAATAGACTCTAAAAATTACAAGCTGGGCCATTCACCTACAGTTTTTCATGAAAATTACACATATGTCTCTGTATGTGTCTTTCACTTTCATTCTTACCCTTTCCAAGAGAGAGAGGGTAGCTTTCAATGCACCTTCAGGTCGACCAAATGGAAAGCAATACCTAAAAAAGACAATAGAATTCTTCAGGTTGCCCCAATTTATTGCATTACAGCGAGAAATACACTACAGTTTGATTCCTATAGCAACTCTCTCTGAGGAACAGAAAACGCTTTTTATTTTGCCACACTGTGTTATGTTAATCTGAATTCACACCATATATGTGTGTATATAATGTATATATGTGTACGTGTGAATAATGACTAAAGAGGGACTTTGCAAATGTCTATGGCAGAAAAGAATATTTCAAGTGATGACATAAGGCTCTCTTTGGATTTCCATTGTGAGTGAGGATCATTAGTTAGCTCAAATGTGACCCTATGTCTTATAGGAACTAGCGATAGACATGTTATTTGAAGCAGGTGGGTTCAAACACTCTTTTCTAGGCTCCAAAGGATTGATACATGAAATGGAAACCACAACAGGATATTCCTGATTCTGCTCACTGTCCCTCTTGGATTGTGAGTTTTCATTGTTACTGGACCTTTTATTATGAGTTACTCATTTTGTGTATAGTGTATGATCAACAAAGGACATTTCATCAAAATTTTGTTCCATCAAAGAGAATTTTGATAGCACAAGTATTCTGTCAGATACCACTGCAAGTTCCATTACTGTTTCAGGATGTCAGGAGCTCTTCAAATCCTTCCATCAAGACATAGAGAACAGCTTGGGCTACTTAAACTCAGACTCTCCAGATGGCCTTGGGGATGTTCTTTAATCTCTGCCAGCCCTATTTTACCTTGTGCAGATGCAGATTGTAACACCTACCTTTCCAAGTTGTGCTGAGATAAAAACATCAATTAATTATTTTCCAGCCTTAGGTCCTAGTGCATGGGAAGTATTTAATAAGTAGGAACCACAGTAAATATTATTGGTATGCTCGAGTTATTATTTTAGGATCTCTGGCCCAGAATCACCATCACAGCATGGGAAGCACTCAGTTTGCTCTGAGGGAGAAGTGGCTGTGTGAGGAAAGGGTCAAGTGTAAGATCTGCCAACTGACTCTGGCGTGTGGGGAAAGTCACCCTTCAGTGCGGTTTCAGATAGACTCCTTGCTCTTCATAGACAGTTGGTCCAACTCTAGTGGAGGACAAGGTGGGGCCTCTCTTAAGGGGACCACTGTTTTTGCCTTCTGTGTCCCACCCTCCTTTTTTTCCTTCAATTGTTTTGTTCAGGTCCTTGAAGAAGCTCAGATTTAACTTTTTATAATTATCTTGATGACCAGTCAACTCACATAAGGAATACTTTGTTCTTTAGGTGGAAATAAAATGAAATTCAGAGCTCAAAGTCAGCTAGTTCTTGTAGATTCATGTCTGACTGCCTTGCTGTTTTCTACTCATTTATTCCTGACAATCCAGGGCATCTGAGTGGATTTATAGTTTGGGAAAATCAAGCTCTTCTTTGAGTCTCCCCAGTCTCATCCACCTAATAAACCCTTGAACCCCAGATCCTTACCTAAAATGCGTAATCTGATTTTCCAACAGAACTCGGAGTCTCTCTTTGATTTCTTCAAAACGTTCCTTCTCTTCAATAGTCACAGTCCCAATTCCATCAGGCCTGTGTGAAGAAGACATATGACAAAGTGATGCTTCTGCCATCAAATCAAAGCTCTAGCAAGAGGAAAGGGTCCATTTTGGAAACAACCATGACTGTGACCCATGTAAGGATGAGAGAAGCCCTGCTGTTCAAGGAAGCCTTCTAGAGTGGCTGGGATGTTTTGGAACTACCTTTCTGGTGACATGTGCAGAACTGTAGCTGATTTCTTGCAGGATGGTGACATGTACGAAGTGGTGTTCTGGGGATGCCCATCAGCTTGACTTGTTCTGTTTGGCTCATAACTTCTTAAAGAATTTGAACTAGTTGCCAACAATTTTAAAATTAGGAAATTTTGTGATATAGTTCTGATTTCTTGTTTCTTTTGGAAATTCAGAACATCTGGCATTAATTGGCAAACACTACCTAACCACTGATTTCGTAGCTCAGGTGGGCACTCACCTGGTCCTATATCTCTCATTTGCGGTGTCTGTGTCTCTTAGGGGCACTTGGGTATGGAACTCCTGCACTATGCACAGAAATTCCTATGAAAACCAGGCAGCTTGTACATATCTATCTTGCCCAGTGTTAAATGTTAATAAATGGCTCAATTTCGGCTCATAGTAAATGTTTGGATTAACTTAAGCACTTAAGTATTAACTGAAGAGCAAACCACATGTCATGTCTTTCAATCCTAGCAAACTACTATTCATTGTAATAAAAAGAAAGTCCAGAATAAATAAGTGATTTCAGTTTAATCAGCATTCTCATGGTTCTGTGTCCCCACTGGATGCATACATATTTTTTCCTATTTGTTAGAGCCCCATCAAGTTGAAAATGCACAGAGAGGTTGTATATTTATAGCCCCAATTTATCTGTGCCAAATTAGACACAGGCTACTTTGACCCATATGAAGCCTTCCATTTCCTGAGATTTTGTAGTAACTTGTTTTGACTACTGGCTCAGCCAGTTTGCAGATTGGTGTGTCTCTATGAAACTTCTATTGGAACATTCCTCGGTTTGCAAATGCGAGTCATCTTGAGACCAAACAAATGGTCGTATTTATAGGCCTTCTCAAGGATCCAGCAGGAGTTGGGAAAATCCTTTATACATACTACACCAGCCTGACTGCACAAAAGATCTGGCAGTGAAGAGCAATGTAATTCCTGTCAGGGGTTAATTGATAAACTCTGCTTCTCTTATTTTTAAATAATAAATATGCCCTATTTGAATAAAGAGAAAAATGTTCATTTCCCCAGATTATTAGAAAAATACTCAAACATTAAAATCTTATCCTGTCTATTTCTTCACAATCTTCCAAACTTACCAGGAAGAAAGAAAGTAAAATGGTAAATAACATGTACGATGTGAAATACTGGGACATGCCCTTATTTTCAATTTTTCTGGAAAAACATTCAAATGTTCAGTTACAAAGTTTATCTTAAACCATTTTTGTTTTACATGAAACATTCATGAATCTGTAGTTACATCCCAGGATGAATTTGTTGACCTTCCCCCAACATGTGACATTTTCTTTGCTAAGTTCTTGTTTCTCGATAGGTTAGACCTTTGTTTTATCTGGCTTTTAAATTTTTTTTTTTTTTTATGGAAAATCCAGCTTGCTAGCACCTTGAGTCCACAAATGATTGGTGAGGGGATGTAGGCTCTGGCCTGGGAAAGAGAGAGCCCTGCAAACCACTTAGTTTCTTAGCTGGGAATAAGCTCAGAAAAAAATGCTATTAAATATAATTTCACACAGGGAGGGGTTTACAGATTGTAGTCAGGAGCACAGGCATTGAGGTGGAGAGCCAGGAGAAGTCCGAGGCCGGTATTAGGAGATAAACCTCTCTAGGAATCACTGCATTCCCTCTTCACTCAGTAACCCTTTTAAGACAGGTAGCTTTTGCATTGGCCTTTGAGGTGATAAAAACTGAACAGTTGTGTGCACCATGTTCTCAGCTAATTCTCATTACACACAGTACTATTACAAATGTGAAATTTGATCATGTTTTCTGCCTGTTGTGATGATTCACATTTGTAATTATGAAAGGTATTGGCTTCCCCAATCACCTCTCTGTGGACTACTTTCTGAAAAAAATGTAAACAACTAAAAATGTACTTAATTTGTCTCTTGCTCATTTATGTGCGTGTGAATAGTTTTGACATAAACAAAACAACCTAAACTCATCAGGTTTGTCAGGCACACAGTACAGAGTTCCCTGGTAAAAACAAGAGATAAAACATAATGATTCTCCTGTGAAACACAAATTTGTTTGTAACTGCATGAATTTCTCTGAAGTGGTGCTGGGAACAGGGGTGCTGTTTCATAAAATGAAGAAGAGACTCCCCAGGAATGTAATCTGTCAAAGACCACAGTTCATAACCATATGTTAGAAAGCACTAGTTTCCTGTGTTTTGTTTAATTTCGAAGACTCATTTCTAAAAATTCAGTCAAACACTAATCTCTTTTCTATTGATCTCTATAATTTGTCAATGTTATTTGTACAGGTTTCGGTAGATCTGTGCATGGCTACAAACTGGAAAAAAAAAAACCTGATTAAATATTTTAGAGCACAATGTTTTTCTGTTTTTTTTTTTTTTTTTTCTGGAGACAGGGTTTCACTATTTAGGCTGAGCTTGAACTTAACTTACAGCCCAAACTGGCCTCAAACTGAGTCATCCTTCCACTTCAGCCTCCCAAGTACTGGGATTATAGGAGTGCACCACCACGTCCGGCCTGGAGCACACAGAAGGAATAAATATTTTTTCTAGAGCAGTGGCTCCCAAGCCTCAGTATCACTGGGGCGTTTGCCATAGCCCCAATGGCTTGGCATATCCCAGCACCTCTGACTCAGAAGGTCTAGGGATGGGCCTGAGAATCTGCATTTCTAACAAATTCTCTGATGGTGGTGGTTCCTACACTTGGAGAGCCGTTGTTTTAGAGAAAATGAAGCAAAAAAAAAAAAAAAATCAAACAAACAACCCAAAAAACACTCTTAACCCAACCAATCAATAAAACCCTGAATTTGGTGGCAATTTCCTGTGACTGAAAGGGTAAATTGACTTTTACCCAACTTCCCTAAAAGCTGAGTGAATCTGGAACCAAATATCTTCTTCAAGAAGTGCGTGGTCCATTCAGTGATCTACCTAACCCTTCCAGTAGAGGCATTTGTATTGTTTCCAAGGAACCATCCAAGCAGTGCTGGTTCCAAAATAAATAGAGAAGAATTGTATTGTGTCTCACAGAAGCTGTGCTTCTGTGTTTTTTTTTTTCCTGGAAACATTTTTTTTGGGGGATGTGATTCTATAATTGTCATAAGACTGGCTATGTATCTTGTTAGTTTCTCAAAATTTGAACACTTAATGAGTGACAAAGAATGAGAGAAAAATGAGAGATGAAGCTGAATTTTAAGGTCTAACTAGAATGTTCCAGGTTGAGGTGTTTTAATGCAGAACCCACGTTTAGTCTCCTCTCTCATGCCTGATTGTGCTCGGTCTGTCTCCCTAAGTTCTGGCTTCTTAGCATCTGTGCCACTTCCTGACACCCCTGAATTTGAGGGAGAGATCTCAGCCACACCCCGGGGACCCGCTGGGGAGGGTAAGTTGAAGGGCGTGTTGTCTTACTAGTAATGGTGAAAGAGTTCCTAGGAGCAGCTCCGCTCTTTCACAGCTGCTACACATCTGTGATAGAATGTGACCAAAGCCTGCCACCAGGACCGTTTCTTCTGAATCTTTCTGCTGAAAATGATGTGATTTGAGAAGAAAGAGGTGAAATTTGCTTGTTCCAGCAGCTGGGCCTTGACTAGACTGTTCCAACAGTTTCCTGATCTCTGGCTGGATCTTGAAAGTGAGAATATTTTCCCTCAAAGCTTTGATTCAGCTTGTCTATCATGAACCTTGATTTTGGCGTTTTAAAAGCTCCCCAGGTTTTTGAATTCAGGACCACTCCTCTGGTGCTGCTTGTTCTTCTGAGGCTGCCTTGATTCCAGTTTTCCATCCCTTTCTTTGAGGCTCTCAGCTTTATCATCCCCAAAACTTTCTTTTGCTTAAATTATCCATGATTTTTGTTACTTATATGGAGTAGGTTTCCTGAAATGTGCAGTCCCTCCTTAAAGTACATAAACTCCTAGATTGTAGTAGAACTGAGGATGCTTTTGAGCTTGGCTTTAGGGATGAATACACACACACACACACACACACACACACACACACACACACACACCCTTCTGTGGAAATGTAGCCCCTGGTCTCTGTTCCAACCAACTGCACACTGGCTAACAACTCACTTCTTGTATATCATGGTTCTGCAAACTTGAGACAATATGCAAGTCCAGTGCAGTCACTTTTGGAGCCCTGCTGGAGACTGGAAGCTCTCCCACCTGCAGGCCATTGCTGGACCAGAAGTGGGTCTCTCCAGCCACAGCAGACTATATCGCATGTGACACGACGGGCATCTCTGGAATCCACCTTTCAAGTTTTCGGCAAACCGTTTTCTCACTGTCCTTCACAAAGTTGACATTTTCAGCAGCATGATAGGAAAGATGTCATGTCGGCTGCTCTTCAAGTTCTTGTCACGGTGGTTAGCACCAGTTCTGTCATCTTTACTTTCCTCACAGCCTCCCATCTTGAGACATGTCACAAATAATAATACATAGAGACTTCCATTTTTCTTTCTTTCTGTGCTTCTTTTTTTGTCAAGTTGAAACAATTATAACCCAGCTAACCAACCCGTTCAGTTACTGGTTATGTAAATTCTTCTCCATTTCCCCAAATGCTTCACAGCTAGAGCTTGTTAATTAATGTTTATTACAGGCTTACATTCAACAATTAAGCCCTAGGTTTTTAAGCAGAATATTTTATTTTGATATTTGAGTTTAAGCATGAACAGCATAATTGAAGATCTTCAATGGCATTGTGTCTTGTAAAATGAATTGACCTCTTTGGGGTCATTAAATTGTTGCCGCATATCCAGTGGAGCACACAGAGTCACAGCATTTAATTATCTTGATAGCCTGGGTTTTCCC